AGTGTCGCGCCGATTCCACCTTCACACACACGGCCTTCAGGCTACTACGGAGCGTCAGTCCTTTTAAGGATAGAACGTCGAGAACGCCGACGCCCCGTCCTTTTAAGGATAAGGCAGCCAGGCAGTTGGAATTACGTTGAAGGCCACGCGACACTCCGTAGCATTTAAGATCTGTCTGTTCCGCTTAGAATAACCCCAGTTGCTTGCATGCGAACCTCGCGATTGCAGAACACGACCGCTTGAGCCACGCTCGCTTCCCGAGCTCCACGAGGAACTCTGTGCACGAATTTCTGTACGCACCGCTCTTGCATGTCGCATTGCGAACAACAACCGCTCACGCGGAACTCTGTACGCACAGCTCCCGCATGTTGCATTGTACTCAGTGTTAGATATTGAGAATCACTTGAATAAACATAATTGTTTAAACCGCTTATACCGAGGTAAAGTAAGTTGGAGTTTCCCCCTTCTCCCGAATCCTGGCACCGGCGAGCCTTGATCCGCGGCGTACGGGAAAGGTGAAACGTTACATGGCGCCCGAACAGGGACCTGACTAGTCTAGTGGAGACTCCAGCTCGCGCAGCCTACCTAGATGCCCGCGTGGGTAAACAATTTAAAGAAAGACGAGGTAATTAAATTACTGGCCTCGCACGGACTCGAAACCGTAGGCACTCTTGACGAGCTCCGCCGACAGCTCCGTCGTTTTGTTACCGATAACCCGACTCTTTTCGCGTCCCACCCCACGACCCCGGACACACCCGGCAGGATTGCCGCCGACCGCCGAGAAAGTTTTGCTCCCGGTGCGGAAAAGACGGGGTGTTGACTCGAGACTGTCATCCCCCGGCGGGAAACGGACCGCGGGCCGGAACTGTCGCGGCCAGTACCCAGCCCGAATCCGAGTAGAATTTACTCCGAGACCGCATATACAGGTCCGTGTCGTCCGCCGAACAATACGGGCCCTGCTCGATTCCGGATCGGAGGTTTCGTTTATCAGCGCCGAAACCGTCAATCGCCTAAAGATCCGCACACATCGTCCAGACACCGTGGCTAAACACGTTAACTTAGCAGATGGGACGCGGATCCCCATCACCAGAGTTCTCACACTCCCCATCACCGTCCAGGGGGAGACTATCCGGCACCAGTTCTCCGTTTTGCCGAACTTGAGTAGCCCCATGCTAATAGGCATAGACCTATGGGCCAAGTTGCGGATTACGCTGCCACCGCCGCCACCGCCAAGGGAACCGACCAGCAACCTGACCATCTTAGGAGTCATAACCGTCGGCAGCACCGCAGGGAGATCCGAGGAGACCCAACGCCTGGAAGCGTTCTTAAAGGCCGAGCTGCCAAGATTTGAACAAATCCAAGGGCCGACCGATCGGATACAACACCACATCCGCCTGAAACCGGGGCCCGCAATTAAGCAGCGATATCGCCCACGCAACCCGGCGATGCAGGCCGTTATCGACCAGGAGGTTCGGGGCTATGGAGAAGGAGGGAGTCATCGAACTCTCAACAAGCGCCTGGAGCTCTCCCATTGTCCTGGTCAGAAAGAAGGACGGGGCTTACCGGTTCTGCATCGATTACCGGAAATTAAACGCGGCATCCAAAAAAGACGCTTATCCGCTGCCGCATATCGCGGCCACGCTCGACAAGCTGCGTGGAGCCAAATATCTGTCCACGCTCGATCTCAAGAGCGGGTATTGGCAAATGCCGCTTACTCCGTCAAGCCGGCCCGCAACCGCATTCACCGTGCCCGGCCGAGGCCTGATGCAATTCAGGGTGATGCCCTTTGGCCTACACTCGGCGCCCGCCACCTTCCAGCGGCTGCTCGACACGATATTCGGTCCGGAGCTCGAGCCACACGTCCTGGTGTACCTCGACGATGTTATTATCGCTAGCCGTACGTTCGAGGACCACCTGCGGCATCTAGCCGAG